ACAATGGCAATGATATGAATCAGGTTCTGTTGATTTCTGATGAATTTCAATTCCCGCCATATATTAGCTAAAGAAAATACGGTTCACGGCCATTTGCCCTCAAGTGAACTTACTCTGTTAGTCACTATCACGCTTCCACAGAGAGGAGGTGTGGATGGTTTCTGGAAGAATGTGATGCTACTGTTGTTGATGACACACTGGTAAGAGGCGGAAGTGATGCGTTCGAACCTTTGAAAAATATCCTCTGAACCGCTAGTTCCCCTGAGCAATAAATTCACGTCAAGTTGCTTTGGTGCAACCCTCTGAGAATAGGGCAGTTAGCCGCTGTCTTAAGAAGAAGAGGGAACTCTGAAGTGGTTATACCCGATTGAGTGAGACGTGGAATCGTGCTGTCCAGCGCGAGAGTCTCCAGAACTAGAATTAGCCTTCATCCACCTAAGACTAACAACGCAGGGTCTGTTGAAATATACGCTGTATATTTTAGTGTACATTAACATCTTGAGCCAGATCTTAACACGAAAGCCTCGTTTTGGCATGCTTGACAGCCGATATTTCCATGCCAAGATTTTCGAAATTAGGTTTCCGTCCAGAATGATGATTAATTTTCCTTTGCCCTGTCTAATTGAATAAGTGAACAACTCTTTAACTGCTCGTTAACGAGCGACTGTTTTGGACGACTTGATGAAAATGACTGCGGATGATTGCCGTTGATAGATGCGTTAGCCGTTGAGCTTTTACTCTTCGGTAATAAACCATTTAGCTGCCAAACAATTGAGTTGAGTTGTCGTTCGGTCTGTGACTTATATTGCGGCGATTGCTTCGTTGGACCGTCACGAAGGTAGTCCACCAATCAGCTTAAGCGACCAAAGAACCGTCGATCAACAGGTGGGCGGTGATTCGTCGTGATTGAGCCAGTTAGGTTAGTGGTGAATGGCCAGCGGTACGGTCGTGATCTCAGACCGGCGGCATGCCATGCACCCATCTTCGCTCGATCACCGTCACCTGCGTTCCATTCGTCGCCGCTGTTTCGTTCAGCTCGTCAGACGAATAGACAGCCGACTGGTACATAATCGCTGCTTTTCTGTTCACGACACCTCATTCAAGAAAAATCATATGCTATAGCAATAATCCGCCCACATCCTGCCGTCCACCACCGGGGAGTCGTCGATCGTCGTCACTCGCCCGGATTAGTCCAGGTGTGTCGTGATCTTCGACAGACTCGTCGGGTCGTCGTTAGTCGCCTTTTCGTGGTCATGGGGGTAGGTGGAAGGGGGGGGGGTTATGGCCAATTGCCGTGAAAGCTGATATTCTGAAACGAGCTCAGATCACTGCCGCGGCAACGACTGACCGACGCCATGTTCCAGCCGTCTCTTTCATGCCTCGCGCGTTCGCCTGTCGATCCTCAGATTTCTGTGCGTCGTTCGTCTTCTTAATTGATTGCCAACCATCGCCAATTAGCTGTTTCAGTAACGTGATATGACACAACTCGGACTGTCTGCTTTAAGCCCTTAACGCGTGCAATACTGTGACACTCGCTGTCGGTGTGCGAGTGAGGCGTCACCACGTCGTTCGAGTGATTTACAACCGCTACGAAATGTATAATGTGTGATGTTTGTTTAGAGACGAGCGCATTGCCCATTCCGGACTTCCGGATATGATGTTTGCCGTGTGAGATTACAGCAGCTGTGACGGATGAACATCTGTTAATCCGTGTAGCGGATCCCGCAAAGACGTCCATGGGTTGCTTGGTTTATCCGGAAACAGGCTACCAGCAGCCGCCTGTCCTTCAAATGGGTCGATGAGATGAGGACCGAACCGTGACCGGACCGATTAGCTGGACGACGGACGATGGACACGTTCAGCGGCACTTTCGTCACTACGCTGTCGAACTTCTACCCGGTTTCTGACCTCGACGAGGAAGTGAGCGCTTACCTGCTGCGGAACAGGTCATTATGGCTGGTCGAACACGAAACTGCCACCGAAGACTTGTCCAGTGCGTACTCGTTCTTCATGTCAGTGATCATTACCGTGTTCGGCACCGTGCTGAGTATCCTAACAGCCGGTGGCAACCTGATGGTGATCATCTCGATCAAGATGGACAAGCAGCTGCAAACGATCAGCAATTATTTTTTATTTTCGCTGGCGATCGCTGACCTGACCGTCGGCTGTGTGTCGATACCGTTGATGACCCTGTACACGGTGCAAGGACGGTGGTCGCTCGGCTATGTCGCCTGTCAGTTCTGGCTGAACATCGATTACTTGATGTCCAACTCGTCGGTCATGAACTTGCTGCTGATCAGCTTCGACCGGTACTTGTCCGTGACCCGGCCGTTGACGTACAGGCCGCGTCGGACCAAGAAGAAAGCCATCATCATGATGAGTTTGACGTTCGTCGTTTCTCTGCTTCTGTGGTCGCCGTGGATCATCGCCTGGCCTCATATCGAAAGCCAGTTCACGATCCCGTCGGACATGTGCATAATCCAGTTCCTGGTGACGAATCCTTACGTGACTCTGGGCACCGCTTGTGCAGCCTTCTACA